CCTTGTACAAGCTGGTTCTCGGACTTGGTGTCCCTCCTCGACGGCTCTCCGCTGGAGATTCCGATCAGGAGGGACCTCCTCTCTCAGGCAGGGGGCACCATTCTTCACCACTGCCCGGAGTTATGGAAGCTGTGGGCATGGCCAATGAGGGGGCACAGCTCCTAGCATCTGGTCTCTCAACTAAGGTTGTTGAGACTATACTCCAGTCCAGAGCTCCCGCCACTAGGAAACAGTATGCCTTGAGCCCATTAGCCTGATTTGACTTTGAATGCAAATTGCTTTTTCAACATTATATCATTATATTCAATGTGCGCAAATCTAATTTTTGACATCATCATTTTCTGATTTACATTCAAACCCCTAAAATGGGTTTTTAAATTAGTCGAATCTACCGTATGCCAATCTGTCTCAACAGAAATTTAAATAAAGAAAAAGTGTAGCATGTGCAAAACAACATATTAGCCTGGAATAATTTCTGGTTCAAATGTCTTCTGTCTATGGGTTTCTTTGTGGTGCATTTGCATAAGATGTGTACTTGTGTTCATAGATGGCTAGACGGAGCACAAGAAGAGAAGAGAACACTGGCGTATTTTTAAAGTAACTAATTTTTAACTCAAAATGGCATGATACTAATGGCGGCACACTTAAAAACACAGCAAGATATAACAAAGTTGTCGAAGATATTGAAGACAAGAATGCTAATTTAAGTTCTTTCATGACAAATCTCGGAAGATTTTTGCATGATTATGGATATGACAATGTTAATGTATTTGGTCTTGGTGGAATAGATCTGCTACACTTCTGCTGCTGAATTGCTGCTGCTGTTAGTTATTGCTGTTGCTGTAGATTATTGCTGCTGCTGCACAAATAGAATTTAAAATAACCCGTAGCAGATGGGTCTATACAGGTGGAGCTGGGGTAGGTGAAGGGTTTCAGAGGAATGCTCTAGTGAACGCAAATGCTCTAGTGAATGCTAACCGGGCATTCAAATACAAAGCAGTAAGCTCTTTACACGCATATGCAACATGAACCAATCAGCTTGTGCCAAGCAATTGAACTATTATCATCAGTTAGTGGTAAGGACCCATCAGTCTGTGCCATCTAGAGTTTCATGACAGAACTTGGCATTACAAAAAAAATACGAAATAGTCAACATTGCTAATTGACTAGCCAATTGTTGAAAGACTAGTCATTAATATACATTGTGACTAACAAACTCTCATGACAGCATGCATACAACATTACATGTCTGTATATTACATTACATACTGTCTAAAACAAAAAAAAAACGAAATAGTCAACATTGCTAATTGACTAGCCAATTGTTGAAAGACTAGTCATTAATATACATTGTGATAACAAACTCTCATGACAGCATGCATACAACATTACATGTCTGTATATTACATTACATACTGTATATATAGGACCTTGTACGCATGCATACAATATTATAAATATATATTTTTGATTGCTTCCATTGTCCTCATTTGTAAGTTGCTTTGAATAGAAGAGTCTCCTAAATGACTAAATGACTAAATGTAAATGTAATGTAATGTATATATATATATATATATATATATATATATATATATATGCACTGCGGCAGCTGACAATCAGGTAAACAATAGTATGGCACATTAAAGGTGTAATAGGTGATTGTTTAGGCATGACTTTGGACAGCGATTGCAGAGAGGGTGGGACGTTCGCGTTCAGTGCTATCAGGCTAAAGTTAGCATTTTCCGAGATCCAGTGGTGGAAAGAGTACTGAAAAAATATACCCAATGAAGAATGAAGAATATCTATCATCCAGCAGTTTTAATTTTGACTGCCAACTCTTTAAAATACATCAAAACACGGCAGCTGACAATCAGGTAAACAATAGTATGGCACATTAAAGGTGTAATAGGTGATTGTTTAGGCATGACTTTGGACAGCGATTGCAGAGAGGGTGGGACGTTCGCGTTCAGTGCTATCAGGCTAAAGTTAGCATTTTCCGAGATCCAGTGGTGGAAAGAGTACTGAAAAAATATACCCAATGAAGAATGAAGAATATCTATCATCCAGCAGTTTTAATTTTGACTGCCAACTCTTTAAAATACATCAAAACAGCATGGAAACAGTATTCAGTTGAAGAAAAGATGAAAGTTATTCTCAGTACAATCATCCCAATTTAAATCATAAAGTTTGAAAAAATAGATTTAAAATCATGTGTAAGGCCACTGAGACAGCATGCTGTTGTTGCACATAAAATATTAAAGGTCCCCTGAAATGCTTAGAGAAACGCAGCGTTACTCTGTGTTGACGTCATTTGAACTGAAACAGGAAGACAGGGCGGGACATATCAAGCAGCCCCGCCCCTTTATAAAATAGCCAATAGCGTTCGTTTATATCACAGCTTGGGCTAGAGCCGTTCAGTGCCGTTGAGCTCTGTAAAGTCGCATTTGACAGGGTATGCCAGCCACAGCATTCTGGGTACACACATCGTGTCTCTGGACCGGAGCAGTGTGTGCGCGGTGCGGTGGTTAGCGTGACAGCGCAAAACAAGACTTCTTTTTTTCCCTCAATGGAAAGCATATTTACACTGTTTGAATCTTTCCCTGTCCCCTATATAGTGCACTACGTGCCATTCACTGCACAGAAAATACAAATTCTATGGAAAAGTGACCGATTTCAGCCGCGGCTTCAGCGTCTATTTTATAGTGTAGGGGCCAGGCGCTTCGGATTCTAGAGAGCATTTGATTGGACAGAAAGTTTGATGAGAAGCTGAAGTACAATGTGACGTCAAAAAAATCGTCGGTTTTGGCGGAAGTGACGAACTGCAAGCTTTGAATGCTTATATCTTCTAAATGCGAATTTTGTCACTGTTTTGGAGCACACTGCCTTATAGATAACCTTAAGACTAACATATTGATACTAACACCCAAAAAACTTTAATTTTGATTTCATGGGGACTTTAAAGGGGTTGCTAAAAAGAACATTATGTTGTGTATTTGGTGTAATGCAATGTGTTTATGCGGTTTAAGGTTAAAAAAACACATTATTTTCCACATAATGTACATTATTGTTGCTCCTCTATGCTGCCTTTCTGAAACGCGTCGACTTTTACAAAGCTCATCGGTCTGAAAAGCGAGGTGTGCTCTGATTGGCCAGCTATCCAGTGCACTGTGATTGGCTGAATACCTCAAGCGTGTGATGGAAATGTTACGCCTCTTACTATATTGTAATGCCGTGTCCCGGAGCGACAAGACAAAACCAATAAACCCATTACAAACGAGGCATTTGTTGCATCCAGTGGGGACATAATTACTGATTATAATGACTTATACTGTCTTTTTATGCGTTGCATTGCATATCGCGCCACGTAAACATAAAACCATGTCTGCATTTGTGATCGGAGAAACGACAAACAACAAGCGCTACTCTACACTGCTTAAAACTCGCGTTTGAATTGTCAGCGGCAAATTCTTTAAATATAAAAAACGTACTTACAGGCTGTGAGTCAGAAGTGCCAGACTGTCCTTGCAAAGGTGGAACTGCCCCACTTTATAGAAACAGCTTTTGTGCACAGACGCATTGTAGTCTACTCTTCCAGGATCACAGTCCTCCATAAAACAGTCCTCCATTAAATGCGCTGCACACATCTGAATATTTGGGAATAGTGTTGTAAATACAACTTAACCACTGATTTCTAGTCGTATCCTCTTTTGGAAGGCCAAACAAAGTAGTTTCGCTTTCACAATGAAACACACAGCATCACACACGGCGGGCTAGAGTGAACGGCAGCCGGCGGGCTTGAGTGAGGAAACGGCCAGCGGGCTTGAGAACGGCGCGACCGGCGGATTCGACAAAGGAATTATCATTCTTTCTAAATGTGATGTATATAACTGTGACTACAAATAAACAGAAACAGACTCGACTGAATAAGTAGGTAGGCTATGTTCATACCACTTTATTTCTGTGTGACTAATTTTCAATCCTGATAAATTAATTCATTATGATCAATGTATCACTTATTATTGAAAAACATTGATGCTTTTGGATTTAAATCTTTAACAAAGCATGCAAACAAACGTTTTATCATGTTCGTTTTGTGATCGCGCTAGTTCCAGTGACTTATTTCTTATTAGTTTTCTGATAACTTATCTTTGTTGGTGAAATGATGGGGTTGCGTGACGTTGTTCCTGAGAGGCATGTAAAGGGCGGGTTTTAGTGAAGAGCAGCGGAGCTTCTGGCCCGACGGTGTAAACGCAGCGTGATTTTGGCCTCAGTGCTACAGGTCCGAGGCTATATGACGGAATTGGCATTAGCATGAGCGCCGCTTGCTGTGAGTGAGGTGGGAGCGACGAGCCGCCAGAGGATTGCGCAGCATTCCTCGAACAGTTATGTTCACGATTTCTGATTTACTTAACGTATACTGCGTGAGGGAGGCTGTGATTGGATGATGACAGGTATCGGTGATCATTCTCAAGTGATCAGCAGTGCTGCTGTTGTATCAGTCAGTGGTTAGATCAGTGTAACAGTCAAAAAACGGAACAAGGGAAGTCACGTACAGGACAAATCAATTTGGCCCAAAATACGGGACGTCCCGGCTAATACGGGATGGTTGGCAACCCTATTTCCAACACACTTTTTGACAGCACACATCACGTGCTCAAACTCATCAAAAGTCAACAAGTTCAACAAGCAACAACGACTTATCCAAGTGACTGCTGCAGAACGCACATGAGAGAGAGAGACGAGACAGCACAGATCGCGCATCTCATAAGTGAGTGGGGAATTTACCGAACGTGGCACTTGCGGGAGTTAACACTGTATGCAATACCCACAACCTCACACTAAATTTCAGGCCTTGTAGATAGGCAAGCATATATACAAATCATTTAGTAAGCAGAAATCCGAAATTTACCTTAACATATTAAGTTAGAGGAAGATGCGACTGAACTGGTGCTTGAAGAATGCACTTCTAGCAGCCATGTTAAACAGTTGGCAGTTAAAGTTTTCAATGCACAATTTGATTTGATGAAAGTCACGAGACCTATTACTATCTCTCTATCCAATCACGTTGATGGATACAAATAAAATTAAAATAAGCATGTAACGACCACAAACGAAGGAAAAAAGCGGAGTAGAAGTACCGATACATCACTTAAAATGTACTCAAGTAAAAGTAGAAGTACACAATTTTTAAACTACTCAAAAAATACAATTACTGATAAAAACTACTTACTGTAACATGAGTATTTGTAATTCGTTACTTCACACCCCTGCTGAGATCTCCTACTGCACCTTTAAGCCCCATTCAAGATAAACAAGCATAGCAGAATTCTGAGAACCATTTATGAATTACGCAATATACAGTTTTACGAATGATTTACGCTGAAATTTGGTACTTCAGTACAGTGCAGTCTTGTTTCGTGTGTCAAATTAAATATGCATTGTCTGTCTATTTCTGGTTAAAATATAATTTTTATCGTTACAAAGTCTTACACCATATGGTTACAAACCTTGAAAAGACTTTGAAATAACATGGAATCTTACATGGTCGGATGAGATTTATACAGATATCCTTTGATCTTTTATACGTGAGAGCAAAGCCTCTGTTTGCCGTTTCTCTTTTAACACGCGGTGAGATCAGAAGTCACAGAGCGGCCAGAGATGGATCGGTTTCTGATGGAGAACAACCTTCATAAACAGACACTGTGTTCCCTATAAATTTCAGCCCTTACTTAATCACGTCCTTCTTTTGTTTGGTATCTGAGTCTAACAGTACTGGTTGTGAGAGCCCACCTCACAGTATCCACCCTGAGGATTTCTGCTCTAAAACCAGTCCTCTTTCCTCTATACTTTGGTGGAAGTGCACCTGGCCTTTACATAGCTCTTCATGCAGCCTGTTAGCATGAAGATGCCCCATTTTTGGTGTTTGGTTTTGTTATATTACAGTGTAAAAGCTCAGCTGGAGAGTTTTCCTTATCAATCAGAGCTCAGGAGCATTGCAGAGAGAGAGGACAGGATGAATGTGCGCAAGCGAAGCTGGGTGATGCATACTAATGGGGAGGCATGAGTCAGTGAGGCGAAAGTAGGGTCCATTAGAACAATAATGGGTATTACACACATTGCTCTTTTCTTTTATTTCTCATGCTGTTTAGCTGTTGTCCCAAAGCCCAGGTGTTTTTCAGGAGCTCTGTCTAAAAAATCTCAAACAATTTTAACTCCTCAGACTTCTCAACTGGGTCAGCCGCTCTGTATTATGGGAACTGTGACTCTGAGCTTTGCTTTGAGTAAAGATGCATAATAAAATATTTTTTGGCATAATTTTTTTAAAGAACTAAATAGCATGAATAACCTCAACACACCTTCATATGTGTAGTATAGACTTACCTGTTTGTAGGAGAGGAACACGGGCCGACTGAAGACGATCCACTCCACCACTTTACTGCAGGGCGGCGTGGTCAAAGAGCCGATGTAACGGTAGTAGCTTCCGATGGAGGACGGCAACAAGTCTCTGAGCACGAAGGGCTCTAGAAATGTCTCTTTTTCTGGAACAACAAAAAAGAACAAAAATACACTGAGAACAAGCATTTTATCTGGTTAGTAGTATTTGACAAAGATACTATTTCTGATGCATATATTGTTACCCTAGTAAAAAAGTAATATATTTAAAATACACTTATTTCATACTAAGTATAGTTGAAATCTATTAACATATTTCCTGACATATCACTTGAGATTTACTCATATAAAAATTATAATTACATTTTATTTGGAGTACTACTTGTGCACAATGCACATTTCTGTGTATGTTCCTGTTTGCCCTTTTTTGGTCTTCCTGTTCCTGATCTCATTATGTTTATTTGATTCCAACAGTGTTTCCCTCATTTCCTCGTTATGTTGATTAATTCCCTCGTTTCCTCCCTTGTTACTTAAGCCCTGTGTTTTGATGTCTCGAGTGTCGGCTGTTAAATGTCATCCCAGAGTTCCTGTGTGTGTTATCCTTTGGCAGATTGAATTAAATCCTTGTTGAAGTCTTCTCCTGCGTCTCCTCGTTCCTTCCTCCCCGAGTGACCGTGACAGAACAGCCGACCCCAACTGAAGTAAGCGGCGCCTTTCTCCCCCGTTTTTTCTTCTTCCCGTTTTTCAAAGTATTTTTGTTTTCCAGTTGTTTTTCCCCCGAGACTATGGAGGAACAAGTGATGTTCATCACCGTAGCTCAGGCAAGCCCCGACCCTGTCAGCTACGTGAGGGCGTTCGTGCCGCTCGTCCTCGCCAGCTCCCTCGAGGGGGAAACCCTTGTGACGCTGTTCCGGATCGGGATTACTTACCATCGCCCCACGGAGCTTCCAGACACCACCAACTCGACTGGAAGCAGGCAGTCATCCAGTGTCTGGAGAGCCTCAGATCCCGATCCGGTACTCCTCCGCCGGCCATTCCTCAGTCAAGCCTGCCGGCCGCAGCTTTCGCCAGCCCGCCGGCCGTTTCAAAGTCTAGTTCCGAAGATACTGTGGCAAGCCCGCCGGCCGTTTCTGTGGCAAGCCCGCTGGCCATTCCTAAGTCAAGCCCATCGGTCGTGGCTCACTCCCGCCCAGAGCTCGCTCCAGTGTCGGCTCCAGCCCCAGAGCTCGCTCCCTGATTCCTTGTTTAGCCAAGGAAGGGCTCCTGATTCCTCGTTTAGCCCAGGAAGAGCTCCTGATCCCCAGTTAAGCCCAGGAAGGGCTCCTGATCCCCAGTTAAGCCCAGGAAGGGCTCCTGATCCCCAGTTAAGCCCAGGGAGGGCTCCTGATCCCCAGTTAAGCCCACGGAGGGCTCCAGTTCCCGAGTATAGCCCACGGAGGGCTCCAGTTCCTGAGTATAGCCCATGGAGTGCTCCTGTTCCCGAGTATAGCCCACGCAGGGCTCCTGTTCCCGAGTTTAGCCCAGTGAGGGCTCCTGTCCCCCTGAGTCCTCTGCTCCGCCATGGCAACCTGAACTGCCTGATCTGCCATGGTCCCCTGAGCTCCCTGATCCACCATGGCAACCTGAACTGCCTGCTCCGCCATGAAAATGAAGCATACACTTCATAAGAGATTCATTAAAACCTGCTCATGTTAACGTCAGGTGAATGAACAAAAGCTTACATGCTTGAATTAAGGATTCGTAAGTGAAATATTCCCCAGAGGCCTGTATAATGCTGTCACCTCGACCCGAACTCTATTGCAATCTGAAGCAAACGCAAATGCATTGCTGTTCAGACTGGGCTGTTCTCACAGAGTGCACAGCCTTGTAACATGCAACTGGGCGTTTACATGGCATGTCGGCTTCTAACGTATAGTTAAATATTTACCGTAGCAGCCTAATGGATGATCGCTTAACAAGACAGCTCTTCTCTTCTGCCAGCCGAGAGCTTTAAATACAGCATGTAAAATTCTTCCTTGTGCTTCTCAACACGGACGCACGCCTCTTAAGCACCAACACTAGCCGAACACTGCTCAAAATCTAGCCGGATTGGGGAGAAACAGGTTTAAGGATTCACATACGGCTGCATGTGTGTAATTTGAGCTGCAAATCGTTTGGTTCAGCTTCCTGCGTGTAGTGTACATATTCGGCAGGAGATCAGCAGGTTGAAATTATAGACGTCTGAGACACGGCTCTGAATATGTGCAGACCCCCTGCTCCTATCTGTCTGGGATAAGAAGAGAGAACACAGCTCTGTCCCACCTCCCGCCGAGAACACACACACATACACCTCCATTCCACCCCCTACTCTAACCCTACTGAGCAAACAAGATCAACACGCTCCAGCAAACAGGCCGCAATAGTCTGACTGTTGTGGACAGAGTGAATTAAAAGGATGAGTAAATGCATCTCTGTCTGCTCTCCTCTCGTAGTTTATTGTATGAATCAAGAGGGCAAGGCTTGGCTGTACAGTAGATGCTATAACTAGACCAATATGGGACAAAAAGTACCTCAATTGACCCTTCGCAAAGACCCGCCCCCCTTAGTTACTGTTGCTATGTCCGACAAGCCATGCCACTCTCACACTACACATCATGTTCTCACGCAGTAAAAAATACATTGAGGATCAAAGAGTAAACTGAAAACACGCCGACAGACAAAACAGAACAGGTTACTTCTGGAATGAAACAACTTCTCAGCTTTCACATTTTGTCATTTTTTAAGAAATTCAAACAATAAATACTGTTTTGTGGCTCTTTAACGTGTCATAACAGACCACTGTAGCATCTCAGTTCAAGCAGCACATGAATGAATCGTCTTTTCATATTTACTTAAAGCATGAAATAAACGTGAATGAACATCAGAAGGCATTTATTTCAACCACGAAAATGTCAATACACAAGTTTTTCAAGTTTAAGTCTGCCAAAGTTAATCTACTCTCCTGTCTGGTTTGTTTGTCGGACAAAATGGCAGATTCTGCGTTATGATTGGTCAAACTGCCAGTCAATCAAGCTCCCTGAGAAGGGTCAATTGATGGGCGTTCAAAAGTAGCCGTATTTTCTGATATAAAGTGACAGGCAAAACAAATCCTGTTGACTTACAATGAAGGAGGGAACAGAGTAGGATTGGGGACTGAATTTCTTTGCTCACAATGAAATTCTATTTTAGTTGTTTTTCCTAAATGTTTATTTTATGTAATGTATATTAAGTACCAAAATAATTGTCAACGAAATTGTTAATATTAAATTGAATATTTTAACATATATCTTACAATTCCCATCCTTAGAGCTGAGACACCCAAGTATCATAGAGACTTGGGAATGGGCTCCTTTAACCACATAAAACACCTTAGCAACCGCATAACCATGTCCCGGCAACACTTGAGCACCATGCTGGTGACTTTTGATGACTCACAACGTTTTTTATCAAAAAATTTAAAAATGGAATAAATCAGCCAGATCACATTCTGGTAACTCCCATCACCGTCATCAGATAGAGTGTCATAATCTTTGTCATCTGGCAGCAGGTGGAGGCAGAACTATTTTCAGACTCGGTAAAATCCCTTTTGAGTGGGCGCCGTTTAAAGTGAGTGCCATTATTACACTGCATTAGAGCTGATCTCTTTGTCAGAATGGCACTGTGATGCTTTTAGTACCACGGCCTTCCAGATTACACCACGACTTCGTCATTCTTTCTCTCTTGCTCACTTTCTACAACTGTCTCAGTGGGCAGCACAAATCGCAGGCTGGTAATTACCATCAAAGCCTCGGCGTGCCTTTAAACTCCGCATGGACACATAGAGAGATGTTCCTGAGATGACTGAAAAGTAGGCAGAACAAGAGTATATTAACTAAGAAACCCTTAAAGACATCAATTTGCTCTGTCTGAATCACGGACAGACTTCGCTGTTTCATCTCAATGTTCCGGAATACGCCGTTCAGTTCATGCTGGGAGCAGCTGGTGGTGCCTTCATCATTTCAGAGCTTTTAATGTCTGGAAGCGGACAGAAGGAACATTGAGGAAATTGTAGATGACTTTAAGAGGGTCAACTTACGTAAGGTAATTTTCAGAGTACTGTTATCTTGTGAAATCGAAATGATCTTTTTCTGTCCCGAGCACAGTTAGCCAATATTTAAAATCTTTAAAGGGGAAGTGTGTTGTTTCTTAAATGTTAAAATACTTTATAAGTATAAAGTTATACTATAAGTAGCTCATTCTAATTGTGTCTTAAATTGTCTAAATTACAATAATGCTGTCAATGTACCATTCAACACTGATCCTACCAAAATGTGATTAAACAGCCCATCCCTGTGAAAAAAACTTTTAATGCTAGCTTTTGGTACTTTTTTATGTTTGTGTATCAGCTTGTGATTCCTCTAACACCACTTCTGTTCATCCATTTGGTGCCTAAGTGTCTACCCTTACATCTGTCATCAGACAACGGAGATTGCCAAACAAAAACAAGAGCACAAAATTACAAACATTCCCATCAAAGCCAGAGATAAAATGACAGCGAATAGATGATGTGTATGCATGCGTGGGTGTTTGTCTGTTCAACAGCCTAGCTATATGACAAGATATATATATATATGTATATATATATGTATATATATATATATATATTGTATAAATATACAGTGATAGGTTTGAGCACACTTTCTGCTCAACAAACCCTTGATTTCTCAGCCAGATCTCCTGACTCAATATCATCATCATATCATCATCCCGTTAGTCAGAGGTTGCAGTGGCCTGAGGCTGAGATCCTGTCAGAACTGAAGCGCTGTTTCACAAACAGACTGAATAATAGCAGACGAGTCTGCTTTGTTCATTCCAGCATGTAAGACACACTGGACACCAACAAATGATCAGTTGTTGTGTAACTAGTAAAAATGATTACATGTGATACAATTCAATACTGAACACTCAACCTGAATAACAATATTCTGTTGGAATATTGTATAATATACTAATATAGTAATATACTAATGCTGTTCTTAAAAAAAAGAACCCTTTCCTTGTCCCTTTTTTAAACGTACACATTAATTTACTGCTCGTTTTCTTAAAGGGGTCATATGATGCAATTAAAATTTTTCCTTTCTCTTTGGAG